GGATCATGACCTGAGCCGAAGGCAGTCGCCCAACTAACTGAGCCACCCAGGCGCCCCGAACTGTCAGTGTTTAGTATGAAGTGAAGAGAGAACTCCTACTCTGAGTAATTTTTCAGCTCTTCTGAGGCATCATCCATCATGTTGCTCTCCTTGGCTTCGTGGGCCATGGCTCGGTAGAGTTTATAGGCAACCACTGCCTTCACTGTTGCTTCCTCTCCATGCTGCCAGAAGAACATGGCCATCTTCTGCCTTTTCATTAGCACAGCCCAGACCAGCAGGTCATTGTAAGGGTACATAAAGCCAGTGGACTCAGGGTCATCTGATATATTTTGTTCTTCTTTTGACTTCTTCCTTGATTTATGAAGGACTACAGACTTTTCCTGTTGGAAAATAAAATAGGAACGGATTCCCAAAGAGTCAGATGCATGATATTTGACCTAATGAAACATATCTGGTATCCTAAGAATATTTTTTAAGTCTCTGAAAGGAGATGGAAATAATAATACAATTTTATAAACCAAAAACCAAAATTTTAGCCTCTTAGGTGATCTATTTCTTGTTGTGTCCGATAGATCCAGGGTCCACACACTGAGATACCTTGGGTTCATTCCGCACAACTTGAAACACTACACCTTTGGGACAGACTCAATAACTACATGACAATTTTCAATTTCTCAAGGAAATGGGCTGAAATAACTATTGGATAAATGAGAGCTATAAAAAAAAAAAAAAAAACCAACTCCAAACTCACTTTATAAATAAATTATCTTTCCCTTAGAAAAATGTCACTAGCATTGCCAACATGCATCCAAACTGATTGGTTTTAAGTTTCCTTTATTCTGATTATATTCCTCTAGTAATAGTAATATGTAATAATGCAATACTATTCTCCACCAGGTAAACTAACCCTTTACAGCTCATCTCAAATGTCACTCCCTAACCCCCATGTTCTTCTATATCACTATGTATGTATTTCTATTTCAATATTCATCATCATCATGCGGCAATACGGCTATTACTTTTGGGGAGGGGGGGTCATTTCTCAGTCATTATTATACCTTCTTCATCCACCTGCATCCCAAATTCAACTAAGCACCCAACATAATGCCTGGTAAATAATAGGATTTGATAACTTTTTTAATAAAAAGAGATAAGAGCGAAAATTATACATTTCCTCTATTGCTATAAATAAAAGGAAATTTGTATCCATTGATGGTGATCAAGGGTAATTTTATAAAATATCCTTTCATCCTAGGAGCTATGGAAAGCAAACCTCTTTCATAGAACATAGAAATTATTTATATAGAAACTCTTGAGCAAACACATTCATCCCCAGAGGAAAGTGGGACTGAGGTAATATGGGGAGAGGTGGATTAACAATATTGTTCACATTGCTCACTTGTTGTTTTGCTGTTGACTTGCACCCATCTGTTTATGGTACTTATAACTGGCCTACTTGTAGCTCCCTTCTCCAACTTTAAATGAAGAAATGGTCTAGCCTGCAAGAACAATTTTATTTTCACATCCAAAAAGAAATAAGTGGTACCTTGAATTTGTAAGGCTGGGCAGTTCTAATGAACTGGGAATGCAGCGTGCTTTCTGCAGATTCATTTCTATTTCCTGAGGAGCGTCTTCGGTGAAGAGGGGGCTGGGAAAGGCTTTGAGCAAAACTGGTCACTCGCTGGCAGGTGTTATTTTATTTTTAAAATAAAACAAAAAGGGAAAAGATTATCATGGTAACAATATTTCATTTCTAGACAGTAATGAAAACAAAGTATAATATTGTATCCTACCAAGTATCCAAAGATTCTGTCTCTAGCCCATGATCAGTATTTAATTACCCAAGAAAAGCCTCTAATGATCTCCTCCTTATTAAAAACACTGTTATTTCCTAACATCCTAGAGAACATGCTCTTTTGTTCCCTATTATGTATCTGCATTCCTTCTCTATATGGAAATTCCACTAAAAATCAATGGATTTTCTATACCTGGAACAAGTTCAGAATAGGCAATAAAGATTCACAGCTCTGATAAGAAAAAGTTCCCATTCACAAACAACTCCAAGGTTAAGTTAGAAAGTTATGGAACTTCTCCAGATGTTATGCATCACCACTGGAATTCCAGTGATTAGGCCCAATAACAACATAATTTACTGCTTATCAGCATGAAGCTTTCATCAATGAGAAACTAAAGAAGCTTTCTTGAAGGGGCTGATATAAAAATGGATGATACAAACCATGGGCTTTGAGCTACTTTATTTTTTGAAATAAGAAGACATCAGACTACTGCTTTATTTCAACTTCCAGTACCAAGAACAAAACAAGTTAGTCCAAAGTAAACAAAGTAAACAACCAGCAACAATAATTTGCCACCTCCTGCTAATACTTAGTATGTTGTCCCAAACCAGTGGCTTATTTTTGCTATCCTCAGATAAAGGACCAGGCTGACAATGAAGTATTCTGTCTCTTTAATCCACACAGCATCGTGCACATTTTTCCTTCTGTGTCCACACAGTCAACATAGTAAGTCTGTCCCAAGAAATGAGGAACATCAGAGGACCCAACAATCTCATACAAACCAGGGAACTGAAACACCAAAAGGGTTTTCCATATTCATCCAAAAGAGTTATGGCCATTATAGAACAACTCTTTACACAGCCATCGAAAATATCAGTTCTCCAAGAGAGGCCACCTTTTCCAGTAAGAGGCAGGTGTTCCGTGTTATTTTTAAAACTTACAACAAGCTTCTCATATCCATTTTCAATGTATCCTTTCTTGGTAAAGAGATTGAGAAATGTGCCACAAAGGCAGAAAATTCCACCACTGTGCGTATCAGAATGGAGTTGGTAGCCACGGAATCCGTACTCTGGGTTGTCATCCAAAAGGGGGGTATGAGCTATGAGCTCATAGGGGACAGTGGCTGATATTAACGTGCTCTTTTCCACAAAGTGATGGAAATGAAGATTTGCTGTAACAAAAGCCAATTCTTCCTCCCTCTTCCATAGCCCTACCAGGCGGCCTGGGTGTAAGCAGAAGATCCAAACAAGTCTGTCCCAACCAGTTGTGGTGGATTCAGTTAAGTTACTCAGGTTGTACTTTGCAATGAAAGAATGCCACCAAGGTCCATTTTTGGAGGGGGTTTTAGACTGGTCCATAAAAACTAGTGTCATACCACACAAATCCAAGGTTGACAAGGTGCCTAGCTGTGGCCAATTTTGGCCATACCACATAATGGTCACTGATGAATCGTTTATGGAAAGGTCAATGCATTCCATGATGTATTCTTTTCCACTTTTTTCTTTCAATATAATTACCCAACCTAAACCAGATATTCCATTTGAACTGGAAGGCCTGTGTAAGGGTGGACAGGTTTGAGAATCTGAGCTAGCACTACTTTTGCAGAAGCTCTTTGTTTTTGTGACAGATTCTTTCTTCCCATACCCAGCTTCTTTACCCTTGACCAAGAGTAAGTTCACAGATACAGCGGTCTTCTCTGCTGAAATAAGTTTCCAATTAGATCTTTAGGTGAAAAGACAGTTGAAGAGATTCTGATCCAAATAAAATGGTCATTGGCCAGATGATAAAAGTGCCTATTCACTCATCCAGTACACAGCAGGGTCCCGGCATCCAAGTGGGAAAAGATCTTCAGCAAGATTTCTGAAGGCATACTATCCAGAGACACAGAAAGGTTAGCAGACGACTTCTCACAGTGCCTCCCCTGCCTCATACACTGCCTCATGGAAGTCCTGCCCATCGCATATGTGAGGCCTGGCCCCCTTCCGAACCCAGCGGCCAGCCAGTGGCCTCCCGGGGGATGCCCTGGGCTGCGCCGACCCCACGGGGCTCAGCGGCAAATGCAGAGCCTGGAGGCCACGTCAGTGCTGCCCGAGCGACTTTATTTACTCATTTATGTTAGTTTGCATTTTATGGATATAAATTAGACAAAGGAGTGATGGGGTCCAGACTTCTAAAAAATAATACTCAATTTATTATCATGAGTGTTGTGATACAGAATTAATAGCATCATCAGTAGTGATCATGACTATTATTATTAACAGTTACTCTGTACCCTCTATGTTCCAGGAATATGGGTTTTCCGGGTATTATTTAATCCCTTTGACAAATTTATGAAAGAGATATTATTATTCCCATTTTATAGATAAGGAAAGTGACACACAGGTTAAGCTTCTCACTCAAGATTTCGTAACTACTAACAAGCGAAACTAATAGTCCATCCCAAATCTCTCGGACTCCCAACCATGTATTGGTAGCTGCTATGATCTAACTTACAAGACTTCACTAAGAGACTCTACTTCACTAGAAAACAGTCAGAGAAATGGGTAGTAATTTCTCACCATTTCAAAAGAAAAAAAGCACTCGAGGTACTTGCCTAGCAGACTGCCCACCGGGCGACAGCAAGGGCACAGTCGGTCCTCACACCTGTCACAGGCAACCTCACAGCAAGATATATTTGGTTTAAGTGAAGGAACTGATACCTCAAGTGCCTCTCCATGCCTTTGAAATCTCAATGAAGATCATTTTCTGTAAGATTTGAGTTTCTTTTTGTTTTGTTCTTTTATTTCTTAAAGACAAGTTGGGCTTTTACTTCACCTGATTCTTTAAAAGTCAAAAGTGGCTTGATATTCTGGACTCTTCCTGTGATCCCATCCCAAACCACCTTTCCAGTCTCATCCTTCACAACCTTCTAGCACGTCGCTGCCAACAAAGGCCTCCTTGTCACTGTCGCTGATGTCCGTAACACTGTGCCTCTCACTGTCCCTGCTCTTCTCTCAACCCCAATGCCCCAAACTCCCTTCTCTAACACTTCCATTATCCTCTAAGAAGAAAGGCTCTCTTTGGAAACAACCGATGTTTTCTCTGCTAATCAACCAGGCAGGAACTCTGACTTTACATTCCTAGACTTTCGAAATCTTGATGGAAAATAAAATATGTACAATGTGTATTTTTACATAGCACACTCTGCATGCATTTTCCAACATAACCCCTACACACCTGTCCCAAGTTTGTCACCTCCAGGTTATGGACTACTATGAGTTTAGAGATGGAAGCCCATTAGGCTTTTGCCTTCTACAATTTCAAAAGGAAAGAAAAGAACTGGTCATCTCTCCCTCAAATCCTTCTCAAGACATTACTTCTATGTCAATATAGCACACATTGTATCCCGTTCTGTATGATGCCTAGTTATTCATAAGTCTGTTTCCTCTGAGAGTTTCTGAACCCCTGGTCTTTATGTTCATCCTAAGCCAGCACTATAATTTACATGAGGCAGAGACTCAATAAATGTCAATAAATACAAATGTCCATTTTAGAAGCTATTCCCATCTGAACTTCCTAAGCCATTTTTCTAAGTCTAACTCCTAGTTATCCCATAGTTTATGAGGGTACTTATCAATTGTGGTACCTTATGTTTTCTGTAGAGGTTGTTGTAGAGGGCCCTGAAACTTTTTCTAGTGTAGCTGCTGCGATACGCTCCACCAATGAGGTATTCGATTACCAATCCAATGTCGATCAGTGTTATTCTGTAGCCTGAGAGAAGGGCATGCTGAAACAAAACCATGCAACATATTTTAACTTTCAGTTCCCGTTTTGCGTCTCCTTTGCCATCTGTTAGAACATAACCCAATCAACTGCAGAGGTAGACTCATACTTTTCAAGCATCTTTACAAACCGATCCATTAGGGGCGCCTGGGTGGCTCAGTTGTTGGGCGTCTGCCTTTGGCTCAGGTCATGATCCCAGGGTCCTGGGATCGAGCCCCGCATCGGGCT